CTCCCCCTCCCTCCCTCTCCCCCTCTCTCCCTCTCCCCCTCTCCCTCTCTCTGTCCCTCTGGTCAAACTGAAATAAATAAGCAAATAAATATAAAGTTAGATAAAAAATTCTTTAAAAAATAAAACTGTGAATGGAGTTAAAAACTTTTACACCCAAATAAACTCATACTTTAATTTTACCTTTTTGAAGAACTTTTTGAAGACCCCTGTGGGAGGCTGCACACCAGCGAATATTGCCCTTAGGTTTCGGTTTCTCAGCAAACTTACACAATGCCAAAGGCCATGATTGGCTCCCTTTCAAAACCTCACCATCAAAACCATACTCTGGAAGACTCCAAGATGGCGCCAGTCGTAGCAGTAAAGGAGGAGAAACTCATGGATGTCAAACTCGGGGAGCTGCCAAGCTGGAGACTGATGCGGGATTTTACCCCTAAAGGCATTGCTGGAGCATTTCAGAGAGGTTACTACTGGTATTACAACAAGTACGTACGTCAACGTGAAGAAAGGGGGTGTTGCTGGGGTTTCTATGGTGCTGGCCGCTTATGTGCTCTTCAGCTACTGCCTTTCCTGTAAGGAACTCAAATACGAGCGGCGACGTAAATACCACTGAAGAGGGCCCGCGTGGAGGGCATACACTGAACCACACCTTCATCTCCTTGACTTGGCACTCCTCCAAAGGATCTTGAGTACTTTCATATCCCAGTCGAGAATTCACATCCAATAAAAGATGACTGGTATGTGTAAAAAAAAAAAGAACATACTCTGATTGGCCACTTCCTATAGCAAATCGGTGAGCTTGGAATCCCTCAGATTTGCATATCCGGCACCTCATGATTGGTCCACAAAAGCAACCAATCATAACCCACCTTTTACAATCCATTTACATATAGAACAACCAATCACCGCCCACCAACCGGTATATAACCATGATCCCTGGCCCACAATCTCTGGACGACCCTGAAGAGTTGTAACACTGCGTCTCTCCATGTTGTAACACTGCACCATTTGTCCTGTCTCTCACTCCTTCTCTCAGGAAACCTGTTCGACTGTCCTGCGGGTCAGACCCCGAGTATGTTTTGACTAGTCACTCACCAAAAATCTCAGTACTTTCGTTAGTGGGATTCGCCATCTGTACTTGGGTACAGCTCCTTCACCTGGTGTGCTTGTATCAGTAATAATTCCCACTCCTGGTGACTGTGGGTGTCACAGGGCGCTGCTGCCCATGCTCAGCTATGAACCTGGATCTTGTGCTGTCAACCTCTGAACTCTCCCCTGAATACTGACCCTAAGGGCCTAATTACAAACTAGGAGAGATTTTTGGTACTGGGTGTCCTGGAGAAACAGACAGAAAGGGAGAGATCACCCCCAAATGGGGATGGCCAGACCACAATCCTTTCTCCTCCATTCTCTTAGGATTTGGGGCCTGGATGCACGAATGCCTTGCATGAGTTTTAAGCTGCCAGGTCCAGTCCTCGAACTGCAGTCAAATGCGATCAAGTCCAGCGACATAACCATTGCCATCTGCGGGTCCCCAACTTGGATCTTCTGACAGTGATTCCAGGACCCCCTGCGCGGTACTCTGGGCAGTGGGCAGGTTGTCATTGTCCTCGCGTCCCATTATAAGGGCTTCCTACCTAGTGCCATCCAACCTCTCCACATGAAAACCTCCTAAGATGCAAATCTTTGGGGTGACTTTCAGTTGCCCACAGGCTAAAGCCCTAAGTGAGCCCCCGCAGGGCCAGGCCGCTGTCAAACCTGCCGGCACTGCCCGTCTTGCGCCCAACGTCTTCCTACATGCAGGGCGAGGAGCATGGTCAGCGGCGGGGCTGGAGCGCAGCTGGGCGGGCAGCGGGATTGCTCTAATAGAAGCCCGCGTTTCCCCAGTGACATTCCTGTGACTTGGGGTCCCCGCTCTGGACTGCCCACTCCCGGCCCTCGACCTCACGACGACTCGTGGGGCTAACCCTCTTTTGCTGCCCCTGGGGTCGTCGCCTCTGCCAGGCCGGTGCTTTAAGACTTCCCCAGCGGCCATGGGGCAGACGCGCCCCGGGGCGGGCCAGGCGCACGCGCACGCGCAGGCGCGGCC